AACAAATACTAACCGTAAATGCACATCGTCGGGTGAGTCTGTGTGATTCAAGTACCGTGTGAGAAATAGGGCCTGTGTGGCAAGTTACCCTGCCCAGTTTCCCTGTTTGGTCTCACAAGAGAATATCAGATACGCGTATTCAAGTCCTGGACTTTCACCTCTGAACTACTTCAGAAAGATCTCTTGCAATAGCTTTCCCCAGCCAGAGTCCAATTTACGCTGTAGAAAAGGCTCCTATGCTAATGAGCTTGTATTGACAAGTGTGATAGATGTAGCAAGGTACTTAGTGAGAGCAAAGTTGATTGTGTTTTACAGCCTGTGTATTTCTCTGTTTATTGCTTGTATTCTGTCATTAAGCGAACAGGTTCCTAATATAGCAAATCTCTCTAATCAGTAAAGCAAGAGAGAAAAGAACCAGAGCACATTAATTATGACTGTTTGGCTGTGGCCTGGACAGTCTGTTGCTATCGGATTGGGCAGCTTCTTCTGGTTTTATTTCCTGGAGTTAGAGCCGAGAGGGAATGGCTTTTCTCCTGCATGGAGAAGAACAGAGACATGTTCCATGCCCTGCTGGCTGACAGCTGCCTAAAAACCCGAGATAAAACACTGGCTTCTCCACAGAAATGGAGTCCTGGGGCAGCAAAGACCAAGCTCTGCCAGGGTGCGCTTTTAAGTCTGCAATTCCATAAGCAGACCTGGCATGCTGCTCACACCCCTGTGCTGTCCCCAAAGCCCTGCAGAGCCTACTCTGGGCAGCAGCAGGTGGGGACTCCAGAGCCAGCTGTAAATTATGTGTCCACCTGTGTGTTCTGCACTAGAGTGCTGTTGGTACCCAGGCTGGCTTTCCGAATGCTCGTGCCTGGGGTAAAAGGCAAGAGAGGCCACTCTGACTCCAGGTACCAGAGGTTAACAGCATCTCATGCATTTATTAACCCTCTGGTGCCAGGGACTGGTGAGGTCTGGCCTCCCAATCACAGAGCCCTGGAAATTCTATTATGTGACATGCCTGGACTTGTTGATTACCACCAGGGACAATTTTACAGCAGCTGCTGGAGGGACAAAGCTCACAGAGGCTGTAAAGGGCAAGTTTCCGTGATTTTCTAGAGTGTATGCAAGGCTTTCACAGCATGCTCTTGCCCTTTTTAATCCTTGGGACGAAAACCTCAAGGCACTGTGTCTTGGTGGTGACATTTCACACAAAGCAGAGTCGGGAGGATTTGCTCAAACCACGGGACCAGAAATTAACTGATAGGAAACACTTTCAGAAAAGAATTAAACAACTCCTTTTCAACCTACTGTAAAAACTGTTCAAATTAACTGTTAGAAAAACAGAGTGGACTTCTCCTTTTCTTCTTCCTTTTTGTTTTGAAAGACATACCCTACTTTAATGTCAGTGAATGCTAGGGTCAGTGTCCACATGGGTGTAGGAGCTCTAGGTCAGGTGTCTGTATGTCCCATCATTATCAGGTTCCAGAGGACTCGGGGTGGGGGGGGGCTCACACCGCGTGCTAGCATAACTTCATGGACCCCTTGGCTTTACCAGTGTATACTTTGATGATGATAGCTGGTTTTCTGCTTTACTTTACTCTAAACAGAGTCTCAGAAGTTACATGTTTATGTTTTGGTTGGGGGAGCTGTCTTTTAATTTCCATGGTTCCACCTCAGTTTTCAGCAAGCGAAACGAGACTTGAAAGTATAAAAGCACTTAGCAAGTACTCAACAGTAGTTGAAGGTGGGCGGCTGCCCTGTAATTTTATGTTTGAATTTATCACAACTGACTAGCAAGACTGATTGTTCAATGATGTTTTAAAAAGTGTTCAGGATGCAAGTCTTTGAAACGTAGAAATAGCTGGCTTCTTGGCTTACACAGTGGACTTTAAGACACAGATGTTCTTAAAAAGACTCCAGGGCTGCAGTGGTATGTTTCAGTGGTCATTGGGATTTGTGCTGTGTGCAAGACTCCTGAGCATTCAGCCAGCCACTGTACCCATCTGTGAGCTCAGTTCTGCCCCTGCCTGCTGATCACATGGGGTATAGGACCTAGGCAAAGCTTGGTCTGTAGTTAATTCCAGGGTAGGCGTGGACCCTTTGGCCTGCATCCCATCAGGTAAGGGATTAAAGGCATCTCACATCTGTGTGCAGTCCTTTGATTTTATGCTTCAGTTATCACTGCCTTCACCTTCTCATTAGGGGTCCATACCTCACAGTGTCCCCTGCTACGTTCGGGTAGATGCTGCAAGGCTGCTGTGTTTACCCTGCTCTGCAGTCATGGTGACATCTCCAGTACCAGATGGCTCCGCGGGAAGCTTGCTAAGTGCTTTCTGGGAGCTGAGTTTAGAGACCTGCCTTGGCCTGTGGACAGCCAGACCTCGGAGAGGCAGCCAAGGCTGAGAAGGAAACCATTAGGTTGGGCAGCACATTCTCACTCGGAGTCAGCATTCTGTGTAGTTATGCCCATGAACATGGTCCTCCAGCTACAGGTTAACTGTTAGAAGGCCACAGGATGCTGCTGTGGGGAACAGCAGCCCCCAGATGATACAGACTGGGCGCCGTTCTGAATGCATTTTCCTGTGCCTATAAGCAATCACCATGGCCACTCTGAGTAAAGGCATGGCTGGCAGCCTAGATGTGGGCGTGTTGACCTGTTGGAGAGCGTAGAAGTCTAACCGTGTGCAAAAGCTATTAGAACACTCGGCAAGACAGCAGCCTTCTCTGTTTAGCTGCTGGAAGTCCTATCATAATCATTTCATCATGGGAACATTGTCCTAAGGTTGTCCCAGGTTCCAAAATGGGAGGCTCATGGGTATTAGTCAGGTGATGGGAAGAGCCACCCAGCTACAAACTCTCGGAGGCCACTACGGTCCACTCAGGTGCTGCTTTGCTGTGACCACACTACAGAAATAGTTTGAGGCCACATTGTATCACAGTCTAGAGGTCTTACTGTTTCCCCAAACCAGCCAGTGAATGGGTTAGTTATGTAGAGTCCCTCAGTGGGGATCTTTGTCTTTTGTATCTTACGGCCTAGTAAAGAAAAGGTGGAATGGGATGTTTTAGGGCAATTTGGGTGTCTGGGAACAATTCTAGACCTGACGTTACACATTATTCTCTGTAGGTAGCAGAACGGTGGCTCAGACTTGCTATTATTATAGATTAAAAGTAGGCTTTTGAGTAAGTTCAATTCTGCTTCCAATTTCCCCTCTGATCTTCTTATACATAACATTTAGTGACCTTTGAACAGCCTGGGGATGCTTCACAGTGTCTTGTTCTTGAAGCCTGCTTAAAGGTTTCTATTTCATATTCACGGCTGGCATATGCAAATATAGGTAAAGATTATGATGCCTTCCCAGTAGCATTATGGTCAACAAATTACTCCTTGGGCAAGCATGCTGTCGTTTTAGCCTGAGTGTCTTCAGTGAGTCGCAGAGGCTCACGGCACACAGGCGGCCTTCTAGCAGCATGCCCTCAGAGCTGGCGCTTGGCTCAGGGATTCCTTGATTCAAAGGTGATGACTGTTTATCAGGGTTTGCCTTCTTGACAGACAAACTCTTTGTTGGTGTCAAAGGGGCTGCTGTTGTTAGGGCTGAGGGTGGGTACCTTGGGAAGAGTTTCTTGTGTGGATTTGGGGAAGGCAGAGACTCAGGCAAGTCTGTGATCCAGAAAGAGCATATGTTCATGTTCATGTGCCTGGCTCTGTAGGCATATTGCTGTGTAATTACTTATATAACTTCTCTGGGTTTAAATTGTTCATGTTTATAAAGTGAGTGTGGCACTGAGTGGGGGTTTTCAAGGTCTGTTCCTTGCAATTGTCTGAGTGATGGAACACTGCTTCTACAAGCCCAGTGGGGGAGTCGGTCCGGTTAAGGGGGAAAGAGAGTTTAAGGCCTTCACTGCTCAGCCCGCTAGCAACTACCTTGGAGACAGTTTTGAATTTCTGTATTGGGGTCTGTCTTGGTTACTGTTCTATTACTGTAAAGAAACAGCATGACCAAAGCAACTTATGAAAGGAGGCGTTTAATTGGGAGTTTGCTTATAATTTCAGAATGTTAGTCCATGGTCATCGTAGCAGGGAGCATGGCGGCAGGCAGGCAGACAGGTACAACACTGAAGTAGTGGCTAAAAGCTTTACATCCTGATCCTCAGACAGGAAGGAGAGCTTTTGAAACCTCAAAGCCCGCCCCCACTGACACACTTCCCCGTCTTTCCTAAACAGTTCCCCAATAGGGAACCAAATCCATGAGCCTGTGGGGACCATTCTCATTCAGATCACCTCGGGTCTCTAGTGCTGTGTGGTTCCTATGGGGCATCCATCTGAGAGTCCCTCCCTGCAGGGATGTTGTAACCCCAGTCTTGGAATTTTTTGCCAGGAAACAGAGAGCCCCAGAGCTCAGGAACTGGACCCTTTCAGCTCCCTTCCCGTGCAGCATGGGAAACATCAAGAGCTTCTTATCACTCGTTAACTGGGGTGGCAAGTTGGAAAATGAGCAAAGCAATAAGCTGCCAGGAGACTGTATTACTAACACATGGGCATGTCTGTTACGACATTGTAAAGTAAAAGCACCCAGAAAGATCAATGAGTCACCACGTCAAAATTCTCTCCCCTGTGTCTGGTCCTGCCTGTGCTGTCCCTGAAACAGACACTAGTGACAGGTAGCTACTGAACTCTGAAATAGGATAGCCTTGAACAGAGACATATGGGGTCAGACACTGGACTTTGAAAACCTAGGAAGAAAGAATGCCAAATATCTCATTAATTTTTTACATTGATTCCATGTTCAAATGATAATACAGTTGGTTAAATAAAATATATAATTAAAATTAACCTCACCTGCTACCTCTTTATTAGACAGCCACTTGAATGTTTTAAATTATAGATGGGGCTCACAGTTGTGGCTCCTATATTTATCATCTGGCCCTGCCCTAGACTGTTGATTAATGGAATCATAATTAATTACTCTTCCCTATTATGGCTGAGAGCTTTTCCCCGCTTTGTCTCTTTCTAGGCACAGAAGCTGAAATCCAATGTGTCGGGCAGTCCACATCTCTGTCTTTCTGACGTAAGTGACATTTCTTTTGTGTTTCTTTGCCTTTTTAGGGACATAGACTTTTGCAGTGGGGATATCATACATAATATTTGAAGGCTAATAAAGTCTTGGATTCAGAAAAGATCTCATCAGCCTCTGTATTGACTTGCCTTTGGAGCAAGGTGCAGAATTAAGATTCAGTGCAAAGTTATAACTGAATGCACAACTTGTGATCTTGACCAGAAAGCCAGCCTCAGCACTGAGTCCATTGTCTGTGCTGGGAGACACTAAGGTCAGTTGCCTGAAATCATCTGCCTGCTGGCTCAAGGATCCTGACCTGCAGCTCCTCTGACCTCTCAACAGCCCACTGAGAGGTGGAGCTAGCTAGCCCCAGACCCTCTACATTTGACCAAGAGGAGATAGCTAGGTGTAGTGTGTGTCATCCTCCTCTGCCATGAGGGGATGTCGCATTCCAGCACTGAGCAGCTGTGATGGTGCAGTGGAGGTGTGTGCCGTAGGAAAGGACAGCTGTGCTGGCCAGAAAGTACAGTGTGGGTTCTGGCTTGGGCTTCTCCACTGAGGAGTTAGACAAGATTGGCCCTGTGGGACTACTATCTGTCCCTGCCATTGATTATGACCTGTCTGTCTCTTCATGAGCTGCAAGATCCCAGATCGTTCTTCCTACCTTCCTTGCCTGGTGGAGAGAGTCAGCAAGAAGCCCCTCCCCAGTGAAGAGGCTGTAGCTGTTAGGTGGTCTAGAAAGAGATACAAAGGCAGCAATCCCCAGGCTTACACATTTCCCATCAAAGGGGATGTGTGAAGGAGCATGCAGCAAGCATTGGCCAGCAGTTGATCCAAAGGATCCACATCTTACCTGAGTGCATGGTCCCATTTCATTTGAATCTCAGTGGTTAAATCTCAGGTCAGCTTTTTGTGAGAGTAGTCTGCCATCAGGGAGAGGGGAAATGGGGTAGAGAGCATGGGTAAAATGTAACATGATAGAGTGTGTGCGTGTTGTGGAAGATAATGAAAACATTCTTTCTTACAGCATGATTACGAAAAGGATGGTCTCGCTGGTGCCTCCAGCCACATAACCACAAAATCGATGGCTGCTCCTCCCAGTTGTGGTCTGAGCTCACTGCCGGTGCTGGTGGTTACCACTCTGGCCACCCTATTATCTGTATCCTTGGCAGAAACATCATAGCTGCATTCAGAAAATACGGAAAGACAAGAGAGAGAAACAAACAACCAAGTAACCTGTTTCCTGTCTTCTTGTATATCTGAAAATCCAGTTTTAAAAGCTCGGTTGAGAAACAGTTTCATCCAACTGGAACTCCTTTGTTGTTTTTAAGGAAGCTTCTTGTGACCCTGGGGGGCTTCTGTGGAAGAACCGACACAGGGCTAATTCCAAACTCAGAAGGCTCTGTGTCATGGTGTGGGTTAAGGGGACCATTTGTAAACTGACTGTAAAGCAAGCTGAGGCTATGGTTTTGATGGTGGTGGTGGTGATGATGATGACCGATGATGATGATGATTTTAACAGCTTAAACTGTTCTCTTTACTGGCTAGAGCAGGAGATGCTATTGGTAAAGATTATTCCATATTTTGTTGAATGGCTTTGAATTCTAATGACATGGCTGCAGCCTTAGTGTAGATGGCAAATGAAGGTCAGCCCCGTGAGTGGACTTTTTGGACTCCATCTTGTACTAATGTTCACCTTTCTATGTCCGTTCTTCACAGAGTGTTTGTGTACTGCTGACAATTCTGTGACCCTCAACAAAACCAAAAGCCCTGGTCACATCTAAATGCAGAGCCTGTCATCCAGTCCAGTAGAGGAGAGTGGCTGTGGCCCTCACACAGCACCTGGCTTGTTGACTGACGCTCTGCTGAGCCTTTCCTGAGTGAGGAGCCCTTAAATATAGCTGAAGTGCAACTCTTAATGCTTTTTACACTTGCGAGGTCACATGTAGTGTTCCTTTACTATTCAATGATTCCAGCTGTTGGCTTTCTACATTTTGAAAGTAATGATACTGTCCTCATTTTTTACTGATGGTTTAATACAGATACATGCGGTGTGTTTTCCTCTCATAATTAGTAGTAGCTCCAATATTGACTTTGTTGATATGGCTCTCAAAAGCAGACCCTAAGGAGCCCCCATGCTTTAGCAGAAAGCTGCATCCCATTACTGTGGGCAGGCAGGAGAAAACTGAGCAGCCAGCTCATGTCTTTCTCTGTCTTGAAAACAAGGCTGCATACACGTGAGGAACAGGTCAGTTCTTGTAAGGGATGCCACATTTGGATGGCATTACTGGCATTGACGCAGCTCCACTACCTTGGTGTTCATGGTATCTGACAAAGACAGCTTTGATTGGGCCTGGGCACAAGGGCTGGGATGGAGGTGTGCTGCCCTCTCTTTCAAAGTCACCCCTGCCAGTGTACCCGTGAGTGTCTTTGCTCCTGACTGCAGAGTCATGGCCCCATTCAGAGCAGTTTGGTCTCAGGGTCATCAAGCATCTCTGTATGTGACTCTATGGCCTTCATCACGGACTGTGTCCCTGCAAAGAGGAATGGCGGTGTATGGATCTTGAGGGCTAACATGGAGTCTGGAAAGGTGAGTTGGTTGGCAAAGATACACAGAACAGGATGGGATTCTCCTGATGAGACATCTGGCTTACTTAGCCACACACCTTCTCCTGGAGTCCTCTTCCTCACCTGAGCAGACCCTTAGGTGTGTATCTAAAGTCTGCTTTAGACAGTCAAGTTCAGAACCTGCAGACAATTGCATATGGGCAACTATGTTTGCCCAAAAGTGAATAAAGGAAGGAAAGTTCCCTCCATGGAACCCTGAAAGTATCATCTTGCTTCCCACCCTCAGAAAGGTGGAGGAGGGAGCCCTGATGCACATAATCTACTGGTACCTGCCCCCTGCTCTCTGAGGTTTGCTTTGGATGAACAGCAGTTCACCTGAGAAAGGGAAGAAATCTATGAAAGCCAAGAGATAGACCTGGTTTTCAGCTCTTTTGGTGTTTGAAGTACATTTATATCCAAATGCTAATGAATACCAATGTAAAATACTCAGTAGCAACATTTTTTCATGTCAAAATGTTTCAAGGGGGAATGCATCCAACATCTAAGTGTACCTGATCAGTGGGAAGTTCCATGAAGACTCATACGTACAGTGAATAAATACCTTGAATGTGTCAAAACATTTAGAATGCCAGTCATGTATGGGAGCATATCTCTTACGGAGCATATTGTGTTTTAATTAAGGTATCTCCATGTATCTACACTGGAATAATTGCACATGGGTCTGATTGGATGTGATCCACCTTAGGAAACTATTGATTACCCCTGCTGTACACCGCAGTTCTAATTAGCTTCAGAGAACCATAGAGGAAACCAGAGCCCTGTACTAACCAGGCAGCCTTCAGCCAAGAACTCAGTAGATATGCAACATGGAAATTAAACTTTGAAAAGCTCTGTCACCAACAAAATCTCATTTTCTTTTGGAAATAAAAGCATATTAGAGTTACCAGACCCTTAATTTGAAAACACGTTGCTGATAAGATGAACAGTGGGCAGGGCCTCATTTAGGGACTGCTCGGTAGGGAGACAGTCAGAAAACCAGACCGAGTAAGTGTTCTGTCATTCATGATCTCAACTTGACCTGTGAGCTTGACAACGTGATTTGTCTGGAGCCTGGAGCAGGAAACGTGGCAGTCTGCTCACCTGACTTCCTCCTGGAGCGCTGACAGGAGCAGCCGGTGGCTTTCTGGTCCCCTGCTCTCCCTTTGCGCAGACCCAGGTTTGGTCGGCTAGAGTTGGATTCCTTGAGAAAGTCCCACGTGGAAGTTCATTTTGCCATCATAACGGACAGGTGTGTTCACACACTGATTCAGACTCTAGCCCTGCCCTACTTCAGAAAGAGACAGAAGGCAACAGAACCACGTGGAGCAGAAGCACATTGTTCAGTTTTTTTTTTTTTTTTTTTTTTTTTAAATTTGTTTATTTTTATTTGCATTGGTGTTTTGCTGCATGTATGACTGTGTGAGGATATCAGATCTTGAGTTATAGACAGTTGTGAGCTGCCATGTGGGTGCTGGGACTTGAACCCAGGTCCTCTGGAAGAGCAGTCAGTGCTCTTAACCACTGAGCCATCTCTCCAGCCCCCACATTGTTCAGTTTGACCTTGGACATCCTTGAACAGATCGTGGTTCAAGTCTTTAGGAGAGCACAGGAGGGGGGGGGGGATATGCACAGCAGGGAGAGGATTCGGCATGGAATGCTGCCTGTTTATTTTTCCACATCTGTTTTGTTTTTGTTTTGTTTTGTTTTTTCAAATCTCTGATAGAAAAAAAGTAGGTGTTGAAAATTGCATAGGTTATTTTTCATCAAGTAAAGCAAATTGTATCTAGATGTGATTGGAGGGTGGTTTCCATTTTGTTTTTAAGACAATTTCATATATTGTGGTTAAACAGAAATGTCTTAGAAGTTATAGCTTCAAGTTCATCCCAGTACAGCACAGGGACTCTCCAGAGTCCTGGAGTTTAACGTTTGGGTTGGTAAGGGGTTGTCTGTCTCTCTTGCTTGTGCCCTGTGCTCCACAGATGCAGATGGGTTGTTCCTAGCTACACTATATTTCCCATGAGCCTCCTTGTCTGTAAGTCAGACACTCCCAAACACCCCATCTGCTGAGTCAGAGAAACGAGAGAGGGAGGAAGTGTGTTTGAATCAGCGTACAGTTAGGGAAAGAGATGTAAAAGCAGTGGGGGTTGATAAAATTAGCAATTATTTTCTTAGATTCCAACACGAATGTACTTCAGTTATTACTTACAAAATAATAGACTCAGAGGAGCTACTGTTTGGAACGTGTTTTTATTCACTTAGTCAGACATGCACGACTTACCAAGTGTTGGCCAGAGAAGGGTAACTTCAGTTAGTTCATGGTCTGCCTTGGGAATCCTGCTCTTGGTCTCCAGGAGTCACCACCCCCTGCTCTCTGCTGTTCTTGCCTGAGCAAAGGAGACCATGGGAGACCCATCTTTGTAAGAAAGTGTAAGACAGTGGCAGCAGATGGAAGTGAATGACCATGGCCTGGGCACCATGACACCAGGAGGCCGCCATCTTCCCTGAGCTCATGGGGTTTGGAGAAATGAAGCAAAATCAAGGTCAACAGGAAGCCATGGAGATGGTCGGTGGGCCGCTCACTTGGCTGATGTCCCTTACTGAGGGGGACTGTCTTCTGATAAAATAGCCAGGGTCCTGAAATAACAGGAGGTCCTTTGTAGAAAGGAAACTAGAATTAATGTCTGGGTGACTGAGGGAAGACCGTGCTTTCAGAAACCCTGAAGTGAAAAGCTAGGGGGTGTGGCTGGGTAACCCTAGAAGCGACATTTCTTTCTTATCCTGAGCATGGAATTCCATGTCTTTATCTGACATGTCCTGACTTTGACACAGCTTTTCTAATTGAGCAAGTTTAAGTCTGTTTTCTAGGATTCTTCATGAAGAACTGTTGCCTTGGAATGGTAGTCCCACTCCAGGGGCCTTCTTCCCTGGGCTTGGCCTCTGCCCTGGCTCATACCCTGTAGGGTGTCCATCATCCAGGGAGAGATGTCTTAAGCTGTGGTTGGTTTTGTTATCTTCCTGTTGATTGTTGAAGCCTCCACACTTCCCTTTTCCTGTATGGCCTGAGTACATCTTGTGTTCTTCACCCAAGTCACTCTAAATTCAGAACTGCCAACATCTGGCCACGACCCATCAGATGCTCCATTTTGTGGAAGGAGCTGTGTCTCTGGAGCCAGATGATGCAGTGCACTCTCTTACTCCTCTTGAGAGTCCTCTTCTTCACTTTGGGTACCCTGCCCCTTGTGTCCTCATGGGGATCCCTTTGCTGTTTGGGGGAGCTCTCTGATAGTTCATGCTTTTTCCCAGAGGCAGCTCAAAGCGGCTGTTCATCTGGATGCACCACCTGCATTTCTGATGAGTTCTGAGACCCAGCCCAGAGGGGTGGGGAAGGCACACAAACCCAATTCCAATAAACTGCCTGCAGAGTGCTCTAGCCTGCTGCTGATAGTCATCAAGGCCTCAGAAGCCCCTAAGGTCTGTCTCCAAGCTCATTTGACCAACGCAGCTGTGACTTCGGCTGTCTGCCCCTGGCAGGTGCCAGTATCAACATCTTGTGCCACTGCCATGAGGAGGAGTTCATTTTCATTCGAGGGCAGCTGCCAAGCCCAGCACCAGCACCAATAGAAGGGATTCTCTGGCTTTTTTTTTTCTTTAACACAGTCTGGAACTTTCTTACCAGTCTCCACTTTGATTTTATAGAAGATGCCAGGAATCTGACCAGAGAATGACAGTTTCACTCTTAGCACTGCTCTCGGCTCATTGCCCTCCCCTGTCGTTCCAGCCTATAGTAGAAAATGCCAGTTGCCTGAAAAACACTGGGACACCAAAGGGCTTCATTCTGCCTCATGGCAACAAGAACTGTCCAGGCACATAGCTGTGCTGGCCTTGAACAGCACTTACCAGTGGACCGAGGTTGCCCTGGGTCTAGGGAGGTGCTCAGCTAACCGTGTTCCCTGCCAGGAGCTGAGGAACAGTCATCCTTGGAGCAGTCGAACATGACCAGCTAATCCCAACAGATCTACGTCTGCCTGGCCAGTGAGCCTGCAGAGATTTTAATCTCCATTAAGAACAGGGTGCAGGACTCCTCCAGCCATCCCAGGGACGGCAGCCTTTCCATTCCCCCTCCCAGGAAGCAAGTCCAACATCTGTCAACTTAGCACACTTGGTAGGCAGGTTCTGTGGCTGGCTGGACCACCCTTAGGAACAGCAGCTTTCCCAGAAAGAACTAGAGCGCCTTGGGCCCCTTGGCAGCCCCAGGGAAACCCCTGTTTTCCTGCTCATGGGTGTCAAACTGATGGTGCAGTCCTTCAGTTGGACACCCTCTTTATAGTAAGTAGACTGTGGACCTTGGTCTCCAAGAACTGTGTCTCAGCTTCTATCTGGACACAGCAAAGCCAGCTGCTGTGAGGGGGAAGCAAACCCACCACCCTCGGTCTGAGCCAGACAGGCTACTGAAGAGAACCCAGGCCTCGGATGGCCATGATTGGCATACAGGTGCATCAGCGGGGCTGTCCCGGAGCCTGGAGCCAAGTGGCAAGTGCGAGAATGAGGGACACCTGAGCGGCTTTGGGGAGAGCAGAAAGTAGGATTCGTTTTAAAATCGCTAGTTAGCATACACAATAGTGGGGTTCATGGTTACAGTTTCATACACATACATCATTGTGTTACACTGTTTTCATGCTCCTCTTTCTCCCCCCTGTATCTCCCCATCTCACTGATGTGCTTCATCAGGGCCCATTTAAGTAGCAAAACTGCGTGTGCACAAGGAACCGTGATGCCCCCACTGCACACAACACAGGTCCCCAAGTTCAAGTGAACTGGGACGAAGAACTGGAAAATCTGACGGATGTGCTAGTACAGGACACTCGGTTGGCTTTGTTTTCTTTTTGTTGAATGGTAAAGAACGGTCACCAGGTCAGTGTGACGGCTGCAAACACAGGTGACAGTAGCCTGCACCTTCTTAGACACGGCTGTAAGAGACCATCAGCTCAGCCCCCACCACCACCTCCTCTCCCGCCTCCTCACCCAGGCACAGCTGTACGGTCCAGCAGCATCTTCTAGGCGTGAGGAGTGTGCTTGATCTGAGTTTGGGTTTTTACTGTTCAGCTGTAACTGAAGGCATTTCTGGGGAGGGGCAGAGCAAGAAAGCAAACAAACTGTAAAAGCAATCAAGCACTTCTGCTGTGCTTTTCTGGATTCAGAAAAAGCTGATGTCCTCAGAGAGTTGAAAAATGGCTTCAGAAACCCCAAATCCAGAGCCTTGCAGCGTCCTAATTATCTGACTTTCCTCTCTTCTCCCTCACCCAGGGGACAAGGAAACACTGCTCATCACACAGCTCGCTTGAAAGACTTTCCTGTCTTGTGCACATTATCCCTTGATATTGAAATTATTTTCTCTATCTAATCCAGCTCCTGCTGAGAAGCTGTGTGGGATTTAGGATGCAGGGTTTTCTCGTGTGCTTTCTGATGGTTGTTGCGTCTTTCACTCCTAACCGGAGGGTATGTCTCCGCTGCTCTAGTTCATGCAGGTTAGCTGTGAGTAGAGGAGACAGCTTCTGATGAGATATTTTCAGAATTCTGACCTGAGCAAGGGTCCAAACACCTCCTCAGAGCCGGGGTGAGAAGAGCATGCTTTGTTAGGAGGTCTCAGTTAGGAGAGGCCACCTTGTGTTCCCAGGGTTTTCCACACATAGAGGAAGGGGCATTTGCCTTGCTGAGCGGCGGATCTCCTGAGGACAACGGTGCATCTCCCAGGTTGCCTACACGTCTTCACGCAGCTGTTTGGACCATGCCTCCTGCCAACAGGAGACCATAGAAGGACAGTTTTCCATTTGAACTTTGGCAGAGGTTCGGTGATGTTTGAC